TTTTACTTTTTTTTTATTTATTTATTTTTTTTTTTCTGAACACATTTAAATCAGTAATTAGTGGTGTGTTACCTGGCTAAAGACACCGTAAAAAGTTATGTCAGTTAATCACAGGAAGTTGTGTAAAGGATAAGCTGAATCGGCTTATTACATGACCATAGTGTGGAGATTTATTAATCATCACCTGGATGGAATGCCAAAAAAACAACACTGTAGGAATGTCTTCCTAATTAGAAAATAAGCTGCATGCAGTGTCAATGAGACATAAATTGCGCATGTCATGCCGAGGTTTTTGTGCTATCTGGATCCTCACAGAAATCCTCACTGTGGTCCATTCTGACGTGATGAACCCTATATAGGGTGCTTTGATGGGGACTGGCCATTTGTAGGATCATATCATGCTGAAGTGTTGAAAAGTATTTACTTCAAAGGGTACATCAGAGCGGTCATTTTCGAAGGGAACAGCCAGTGGTTACTTTTCTCCCAAGATTCTTTGCGCTGTTTTTATGCTGAAAGAAAAAATGATTTATAGTCCCACTAACCATTGTCAGCCAGAAGAGGATGGACTCCCTTTTGAGTCTGGTTCTTCTCAAGATTTCTTCCTCATGTCATCTCAGGGAGTTTTTTTGCCACTGTCAACTCTGCCTTGCTCATTTAGGGATCTAAATATAAATCTACATCCAGATTCCTGTAAAGTTGTTTGTGACATTGTCTAGTGGTAAAAGTGCTATACAAATAGAAACAAATGGCTGCTGCAACAGGAAGATAATCTATAAATGCAGGTGAAGTCCAAGGGAGAAACACTGGCCTTTATGAACACAGATATGAGCACATGGAATAACACATGAATGAACGGCATTGTGATTTATAACACTGTCATGCATCAGAACTACCAGGGATTTGAGTACAAATGATCCCTCAGCTTCAGCTGCATGGAAAAAAAAACTCCACCCACTAGTCCCTTTTTTACATATGCATACAACATACACCAATTTCCCGTTTCATATATACATCTGAACAAAACACCGAAAGAAATGAACCTGCCAAGTTAGCTAGCATTTTCCAGGTAATTATCATATTCTTTCACTACAAGAATTGAATCCTTTCCTCCTGCTGCGGAAAAGATTGGCTCCCCAAAAGCTTGTAACGTTAACAGGCTTTCAGAATTCCCCTCATTAATGTTCTTTAGATGGGAAAGAGGAGGATTGGAAACTGATTGAATTTTTTTAACTTGAATTTTATTTTTAAAATAGGTTCTAGGCTGTTTCAGGAAATGGTGTCAGGCCATAGCTAGACCCCCCTGCTCTAGAGTATTTAGAAGGATCTTAACAAAAACTCAGCATTGGTCGATTGTGTAGAATAGTGTATTGATTCTAGGGCAAATGGACTTGCATGTGTACAGCCTATTACCATTTCTTATATTAAATTACCAACACTTCATTAATAACCTACACAGCATGTCAGTTAAGGTGAATGGATCGAGTGCCAGTATGCATTTTATGATGCCAACAGCGTGCTAGCAGGCACGGTTCCTACAGATGTCCCATGAGCCAAGACCCAAAAGATTCAGGCAGGTCCCACTCTGTTTTTCCACGAGGTTAATCTCCATGGAAACATGGAGGGAAACAGAAGCGAGAGCTTGAAACTGCTTGAGTCTATCAAGCTCATTCATGTATTGCTGCTCCGTGCTATCCGGTGGAAACTTGAACAGTCATGGTCTGTTTTTTTGCAGCAAATCTCACAGTCACCTAGGTCCAGGGTCACTGAAATGAGACTAAACGCTCCATAAGCAGGATGTAAAAAGCACACTGGCGATACTGTATGCTCTGAGTAGATTCTGTGGAAGGTATCAGAGCAACAGTTCAAAGCTAACTCCATAGTTTTATTTTATTTTTTTATTACATAGTCTACATTCTTGGTGACTTTTCACTTACATGAAACCCCTAAAAGGAAACATTTCCTCTCCGTGAACTGGCACATTGCTGCTTTTTTCCCCTCATAAAAAGCTGACAGAGAACGAAGCTTGACACTTACATATTAGATTTTTCAGACTGGGACTGCTGATGCTTTTTCTTTAGAATACTTCTGTTGTAACATAGCACACCTAAACAAACATTTTTAAACTTTATCTCCTGATCTACATTCTTAGGAAATT